GAACGGGGCGAGACACCACACACTTGATACGCTGATGCCATTGCCCACGTTCCACCCATCTGTCAGTATCGCGTTCGCGCAGACCACCAGTTGCCGAGGCACACATTCCGGGAGTCATACTAGTAAAAAGACTAACTGCTACTTTCGGCGGGGGAGAGGGCCGCCAGCGACGACGCGACGACGTCTTCTCCCCTCTTCTTTTGTGTGCCAAATACACAATTTCGCATAACATAACTATCATACACACATATGTCTCTTGTCCTCAGCAATAGTTAAACAACACTCATTCGAGTTATTTATTGTTTTTTCTGGACGACCTTGCCGTGAAAAGTTTAAAACATCGCCTTCTAAATTTGAAATCTGCTGTACAACTGGCCGCCTTTTGTAAAAAAAAATGCCTTTGAGTACGGCGTGCGCAGGGGAGCAAGGAACTTCTCCGCCCATCCCCAAATTATAGTTAGTATCTCGTACTACTTGATGGTCCCTCTCTAATGTCGTCTTCTTGTGGTTGTCTATGTGTTCTCCTCTTTTCACTCCCTTCGCTTTGTTATAATATGGGAGTAACACATATATAGCCTTCTCGTCGTCGGTGAATGTCGGAGAAGGGTCGTAAAGGTGCGCAGCAGATCAACACTTGCTGTGCAATTACCTTGAGCTTTACCACAACTTGCCTTCGAAACGCGAACGCATACGAAATGGGCATACGCAGAGCACACCGCCCCAGATTCGGTTTATATAGCCGTGTCGTCTAGAAGATAAAATTTCATTTCAGTGTGTATAGCTGGGATCTTATAAATCAGATATAATTTCTTGCCTTTATTTTAGTATTGTATATATAGGAAACAATTTGTCATAACCTTTTTCACGCTCTCACTAACTGCAGTCTCTAGCCAGGATCACATTGTCCGAATCGGGGGCTGTCGGGGTAGGTTAAATTGGGAACCCATAAAACTCTCCTCGAGGAAAATACTAAAATGGGGGCGAACTTCGAGTGGGTTCTTCAAATTGTATAAAAGTATCAAAGTTTCAAAATTACAAACAAATCAGGAAAACACACGAAACAACACAAAAGCACACACCCCAGTTTATGAACCAGTTCAGACTCTCAAATTGTTTTGTACTTTTTGTCTCCCCCGGAGTTTTTGGGTTCAGTTTCGTCCTGGTTGTTTTCGTCCGTATGACGTAAGTTTGGACTGGAAGTTCTTACCACTTCAAGTACACCTCTCCTCCAAGCAATCAGACAGCACGTGAGACAACATCAAACCGATAGAATGATAGGATTATATAATTTACCTACATTTTCACACATCGTTACATTGGGCCATCATAAGTTTCAACGCGCTACTCAGAACTTTTACATACCCTTTTCCGAAATTTTTTAAGACATTTTCCATAATTTAAACTGAAGTCTAAGACGTTATGCGCAATCACGCGATAAAACTAAGTCTAACACCCAGTATACATTTTTGTTCATGGTTACGATATATTAACTTAAAATAATAAGCAGCATTTTACGGCGCGCTATGCATGGGGCCGCCTTGGGGGGTTTCCCGACATGTCGTTTCAGTAAATTAAAGGGTGTTTCATGTTGTCGTTGCTGTGGACCTTCTTAATACCTTGGAAAATGCCGTTTAATACTTTTTAATACTTTTTAATAGCCTTAATTTTCGCTAAATTGATTTATCAACTTTTAATACTTTTTAAGACCCCACGGACACCCTGCATATGCACCAAGAAACAGCAGACCAGAATCCACTTTTCTCAGTTCAATAGTTAAGTTTGAACACTATCACTGTCATTTGTTGATTTTTCTAAATGATATTGTTACAAGGATGCCTGCATGTGTCTTACCCCTTTGCCCATGAGGCCGTTGTTTAAGGGCAGGCCAATGAACTGGAAGGCAGCCTCCTGGATGAAGTAGGGGTTAAGGATTCTCATCTCTGTGGGCTCCCGAGGCACATAGTGAGCCACCGACTTCCAGAAACCCTCTGTCCCCCTCTGAATTATGGGTAAGGAAATGGACAGGAACATGGGGAAAAAAAGAGTACATAGTGAATTAGTGGTTTTCAACATAAATACATAAATGGCACGTCTATGGTGGACGGTCAACTGCAATTTACCAACCCAACATCAAAGTGAGATTATTCTCTGTAACACTGACATAAAACACAGAAGCCAACCAGGAGCCAGACCCCCACCAGCACTGATTAGGGAAATGGCTTTTGGGCCTTTAATGGATGAAGTCAGGGTGAGGGGCTCGCAGGACATTGGTAATTACTGAGGTAGGAGGGGAATCAAGCAGTGGGTGAGGGGTGCAGCTGCCCCGGAGTGCTCTACAGTCTACCTTTTAAAGGTTTCATTAGTTGTGGGGGAAAGGGTCGCAGACTGATTAATATCTAGGAGCTTATTATTTAAGCAAACTGTTGTTTTTACGATTATTTGTCTCGTTTTTGGGAAAAACGATTATTTAAAAAAATGTTTTGCAAATGTAGTGTAGTATCTTTCAAGTAACAGCAGATACAAAAGTATTTCATTAATTAAAATAAATGAAATTACTTATAGTTTTCATCGGTTTTGAAATCAGTCACCAGAGAGAAAAATGACTTAAAGGTAGGGTAGGTAAGTTTGAGAAACCGGCTCGAGATACACTTTGTTATATTCCATGGAATGCTCTTAACATCCCGATAGCAATGCATATCTTAAGTGCTTTGACTAAAAATTCATAAAACAATGAAATCTGTGGAAGCCCTAGTACTGTAAAAAGCACGACCAATCATTTTATTCATAAACTTCAGTAGAGTGTAGGTTTATGTTGCGTGGCCTACATTAAGTATCTGCTGTTGTGGTGTGTGGTTGGGAAATCCCAAACCTCAAAAACCATGTCCCAATAAAATATGCGTTGTTAAATATGGCNCAATATTGCGATAGTCTTAGCCAGTTTTGCTTTTAAATGACTGATATGAGGTTTCCAGCTGATTTTGTGGTTTAAAATCACACCAAGGAACTTATTTACATATACTCTTTCTATGTTTATGTTGTCTAGTATTAATTCCACCCGTGGATTTTCTTTATGTTTTCCAAATAACATAATCTTTGTTTTGCTTATATTTAATGATAATTTGTTTGTGTCAAACCAATGTTTTACTTTAATAATTTCTGCTGTTGTTCTGGAAAACTGTCCGACACCTCAGGAGGGAGAAGCAGGGAACCATCCAAGCTGTGTACAGTAAGGATGGGACGTTGTTGACCTCAACTGATGGAGTGTTAGGGCGTTGGAAGGAGCACTTTGAGGAACTCCTGAACCCGACAACTCCGCCCTCTATGTTAGAGGCAGAGCTGGAGTATGACGGGGGATCCACANTATGTAATCTAGTATTAATTGCACCTGTGGATTTTTTTTATGTTTTCCAAAGACAAAACACAACACAGACAGATCGTGACCAAAACAAAGATTATATTATTTGGAAAACATAAAAAAAATCCACAGGTGCAATTAATACTAGATTACATAAACATAGAAAGAGTATATGAAATGAAGTTCCTTGGTTTTATACCTGAAAATCAGCTGGGAACCTCATATCACTCATGTAAAAGCAAAACTGGCTAAGACTATCGCAATATTGAGAAAAGCCAGACACATTCTGGACCACAACTCATTGTATACTCTGTATAATACACTCATATTGCCATATCTGATTTACTGTGTGGAGATTTGGGGAAACACAAAACCAACCTACAGCCATTATGCACATTACAAAAAAGGGCTATAAGAGTTATCAATAATGTTGGATATCTTGAACACACTAATGTATTATTTTCACACATATTGAAGTTCACTGATCTGGTTACATTTAAAACGGCACAAATCATGTACAGAGCCAGACATAATCTACTTCCTAGGAAATTAAAAACATTGTTCATAGACAGAGAGGGTGGGTATAATTTGAGAGGAAATCTGCATTTTAAACAACTCAAGGTCAGAACAACTCTGAGAAGTATGAGTATAACAATCTGTGGGGTGATTTTATGGAATGGTTTGAAGCAGGAGTTAAAACAAAGCACAAGCATAATTCAGTTTAAAAGGATGTACAGAAACACTTTTTTGGAAAACTATGAGAATGAAGAGAGGTGATTGAAGATGAGAAATTATTGTATATGTATGTATAAATGTAAATGTAAGTAGGAGTAACTTGCATAATGATTTAAAGGACAATCATTGATCAAGTAAGGGGTGGCAATTAATAAGCATTTGCTTCCTCCTACTCCCTTTCGGACACATATGATTTTTTTAATTATTTTTTTAATCTGTTCGAAATAAAGATTGAAATGAAAATGAAATGAAATATGCCATATAGAAGCATATACAGTAGTGCCTGATAGGAGATCTGAATAATAATGGCTCATTATTTCAGAACAGGAACAATATGGCTCATGACTCACCCTGTTATAGTTGAGTACGCAAATGCAGACTGTGACATTGGGCCCTGTATAGTAATGACCCAATCCTTTACTTCCATCGCAGACCAGCCCTGGCAATTAGAGCCTCTGAGGGAAGGGATGTATCTTGGAAAGCCTGTACGGTAAATTAGGATGAATGGAGATATTAAGAACGAAAGGTCACTTCATCATGAGAACAAAAAAGTACAAGTAGAAGACTCCAAAGGATCCAAACCAGACTGAAACCAAAAGCAATCATGTGTTTTTAAAATAAATGACCCTGAGACTTTGATAAACGTTCTGTATTTTTGAAGAAAAACTCCAATCTCACACACGCCTATACATGACAACAAGGATCATCTTTGTCCAACATAGAGCCATCAAAAAGCACAGTTACAGACGTACAGTAAATATAAACCAAGGTACCACCAAGGTAAGCTGTTACATCCCCTGTGCCAATATAAAGCCACAGAGCCAGACAGGTATTAATATTGTCTTCTGGTGCAAAGCACTGTGAGGGATTATACATGTCTTACACAAAGCTTTGAAATTGCACTACCGAAGGACACATTTCTTATTGTTGACCTAGCAGCCCCGTTGTCACAGACAGGGCACGATGTACTCCCCTGATTAAAAGGAATGGTTTGGCATTTGGAAAATACACATATTCAGCTTATTCTGGAGAGTCATAAGGGAAGGAGGCATCCACTGGGTAACATTAATTAATTCTAGAAAATGTCATAGTAATGTTTGTCCGATGTTTAGTTACATTTAGTTCAACAGGATATCTTTGAACATGCTTTTTTTAAGATAAAAGAAAAGAGAGTCATATATTTGTTCTCTCAGATTTCACCTCAAGCGCTACTCGCTGTATAAATTCCCTGAGCAGCAGAGGATCCTGAGTTTGAACATTCATCTGTGAGAAGAAGCAAAAAGATTTATTGTTTTTTTTCTGGTTCACATCATTAAAAAAAGATGACCTCTGCCTTTTGGGACAGCCGACATTTGCAGATTCTGAGGTGACAGGTTGGTCACTTCCCCCTTATTGTTATTCTTCTCATGCAGGTCTCAGAAAAATACTTCGGAATGACAGCTTATTCTGTACCGGTTGGCAGTGAGGAAAACCCCTGCTGAGAGTCATAATTGAGCGCAATGCTTCTGTCACAGTGACACCAGGCTTCTCCCTGCAGAGAGCCTGCCAGGTGTGCCAGGCATTAAAGTGCTGCCATGGAAAACATCACACTGACAGACAGACAGACAGAGCCCGGTGGGAGACGCTGCAGAGAGGCTTCTTATTAATGATGAAACGCCAATGAGGCTGCTCCAGGAGGTTCAAATTGTAAGTTAATAATACAAATATGAGCAAAGAATATATAGTTAACCCGTCTTTGTAGAAAGCATGTGAATGTAAAGCTTATATTCAGCATGATACAGTAAACGTGTTTATGTTTTCCCTTTTGTCCTATAAAAGCATTGTATCTCCAGTTTGGATTCAGATTTAACCGTAGTCCTTTTTTTGAAATGTTTAGCCTTAGCCTAGCTTTCCTAGCTAGTAGAAAAAGGGATTAAAGTGACCTTCGGTTAATACGTTTGCGTCAAACTGGTGTTTCCAAGGTCAAAAATAAAAGCTGTACAATGCTCATATTATATTACATATGCTAAGCTGAACAACAGAGCCGGCCAGCTAACCAATCAGAGCAGTCTGGGTTCTGGTTTCAGACAAAGGGTAAAACGAGGTAAATAGGTATGAGGAAAATAAAGAGCTTTTTGAATACGAAAGCATCTACACATGTCACACTTGAGGCATGAAATAATGAAACCTGAAGATGACGATAATAGGTCCCCTTTTATTTTAATACGGTTATATTCTCAGCAAACCATTAGACCATCGCCATGGAAACGCTACATCTACAGTGCCTGCTATTTTCATTTGGCAATCTATGCTTGCAGGGCTCAACACAAACATCTGCAGCATAATTTCAAAGTGCTGATGACCGAGAAACACCAGAAGCTACTTAATAGCAGTAAATAAGGTATTTGCAGTGATTTACATTTTGAGAATACATTTCAAAACCAGCTCAGTTCTCTCATATTGAAAGCAAGTTCATCTTTCACACTTCAGATCAGTGTATCCAACCTCTAAAGTGTTGTGACAGTTAAAAGTCATATCAAATGTTTAGCAGCCAGTAAGGCGTCAGGTGCTGCCAGAGAGCTGACAGTCTGTCTGCAGTAATGACTTGAGTTTTCTCTCACTTCTCATTGGAGAACAATTATAAATAAGTCAAAAAGATTCTCAGGAAAATATAGGGCAAACAAATCTGTTTTAATGACTCTGATGTGGGGAGGTGGCGATTGAAACACCAGCTCAGAGGAAAAAGTAGTCAATACCCAACAGTAGCATCATCTGTGGTTTGGGTCTCTGATGATTTCACAGTTCAAATGTTTCAATTAGTGGAGTGGAATGGCTCCTTGGCAGTGAGGATAATGATGACAGATAAGCAACTCATTCTTGTATCAATTAATTAGTTTTGCCTGTGGCACCATAACCTCTCTCTGTTATG